GGGTTTTCAAGGCTGTTAACTTTTGGAAGCAGATCTTCCGAAGTGCCTCTGGATGGGTTCATACCACCAACCTTTTGGCTAGTAGTTGAGCACCTAACCGTTTGCGCTACCCAGGGACTCCTTTGCACATAGCAGGAACAATAATAACTGATGACTATTATTATTGTCATTACCAAAAAGGCCTTGACAATGAATGCTTATGCCTTCCTTCATTTATTCATTCAAACACCTGAATGCCTTCAGAAAGGACTGTCTACATCATCAGTATAAGGTAAGACAAGCATCTAAGGTTAAGACCCACACTTGATAGCCAGTTCCTTAAGAAAACTTTTAGACTGTGTACTTCACAGTTGTTCATCTTTGTATCCCCAGGGCATAGCACACTGCTGGACACATAACACGCTATTTTTTTTTTAATTGATTGGATGGTAACTTACAGATTCAGCTTAAATTGCTAAGGTGAATGTCCTATATTAGTTCCCCACCTTATGAACCACCTCTCTACCTTGTTACAAGTTTCAGCCCTATTTATCTTTTTCTCAAAGACCATTAGCTTCTCTATAATAGGATCCATATAATAACTCCAATACCTCAACATGGCTTAGCAAAGTGATCTGTACACAGTAGGTACTAAAAACCAAAAAAAAATGTGCTGAGTGAATGCTGTTCCTGTACTATGCCCAAATAAACGACCACATTTTAATCTGAAAAAACACCCAAATCTCTGAAAACATGGGGGGTGCAGAGAGTACATTAGCCCTGGTGGCACAGTGGTTAAAAGCTCGACTGCTAATCAAAAGGTCAGCAGTTTGAATCCACCAGCAGCTCCATGGAAACCCTATGGGGGAAGTCCGACTCTGTCCAACAGGGTCACTGAGTTGGAATCGACTTGACAGCAACGGGTTTTGGTTTATTAAGAACTCCCTGGAATACGGGCATGAAGAAAAACTAAGTCTCTAAGGAACTTAGACACCTTCATTTCACGAGACCAAATTAGTAGGTACAACGAAAGTGGAGTCACCTATGTTCTCTACAAAGCCACTGGAATATGTCTTTATAGATATTTAGAAAGTCTATTTCATGTCTTAACTATTTAAGAGTTCCCTAACTTCATTTTAGAGTCCCTGAGTGGTACAAATGGTTAATGCACTCAGCTGCTAACCGAAAGGTTAGAAGTTTGAGTCTACCCAGAGGTGCCTCAGAAGAAAGGCCTGGCAATCTACTTCCAAAAAAACCAGCTACTGAAAATCCTATGGAGCACTGTTCCACTGACACACATGGGGTCACCATGAGCCAGAATCGACTAGACAGCAACTGGTAACTCCGTTTTACTTGGTGGCCATTTGACCTTGGAGATCAATCACTTCATCACTCTTAGCCTTAATTTTCTCCTTTGTCAAACAGAGATAATAACTGTCCCTCTTTCACAGAGCTGGTGTGAGGGTTAAATGTGATTACACATACCAATTTCCTACACTAAGCCTAGCAAAGAGGTCAGTAAATGGGCAGACTTGCCTACTCCACACCGTCACCTAAGATCAAGTGCTGGTCTGACATTAAACAACCAAGTAAACCTTCGTTTATCATGCTAGACTCTCCCTCTTCCATGAAGCCCTAAGTATTCCCCACTCTGAGCCTTTAAATGGAAAGTCCCTCCTGCTACCTCTCACATGGCAGTCCTGGAATGCCTGCCTGCTCCCTTCCCAGGAAAGCCCTGTCTTCCAGTCACTTACTCATGACTTCCAAACTGTCATGAATAAAATGGCACATGTTAGTGTGCTCTGGTTCCTGGATAAGCAAAACACTGGCTTTGTGCTTAGAAAACACTCACACACCAGGATGAAGCCTTGGCAGAACACCAACTGATCCATTCCAGCTTCCCAAAGGCAGCCACTCACTGCATGCCAGGCAAACCACGACTCTCACAATCATGTGGGGCCCTTCGCCCCTACAGGTGGAGCCCATAGGTAAACACTTCATCTCTTCTTACCATGGATTTCTGACCCATATCCTAGAGTGCTGATCACAGAGAAATTTAAATGAAAACACCAACATCTGTGCATCACTCTTTGCCAACAGAACATAGCAAAAGGGAGAAAGTGGGTTAATTTGGGGTTCCAAGCTCAGAGATATAATAGTTCTGAGTTGAGAATTATTTATGTTAATTAGGAATCCAAAGAAAAGAAAAGCTCACATACATGCAGGGAGGCACTTAATTACTAGAACCAGGAAGAGTTTTAAAAAAGAGAATTCCAAGCTTCGCAAATTAATTCCCATTTCTGAGTCTCCACATCACCAAAAAGTACCCAAAAGTTTTATTCCTAAGAATAACCACAAAATAACACAGCAGTGTTCATGAAGTTTCCAAGCGTCTCATTTGCGAAGCACATGCCAACAAGACTGTGTCGTTTACACAAAACTTTTCCTTGTATTTTTGGGGCAATAACCTTAAGCCCTATATTTTCTGAGAATTGAATTCAAAATCTACTTAAGATATAAGATATTTATAACAATGTACTCCTCCTCGATATGCAAACTTGGGGGAAAGAGGAGAATAAAAATTTAACTGTAGTTAATTAGGTGCCCTGGTGGCACAGTGGTTAAAGCGCTTAGCTGGCTAATCAAAAGGTGGGCAGTTCGAACCCACCAGCCGCTCCGTGGGAGAAAGATGTGCCAGTCTGCTTCCATAAAGATTTACAGCCTTGGAAACCCGATGGGGCAGTTCTACTCTGTACTACAGGGCCGCTATAAGTTGGAATAGACTCGACGGCAGGAGGTAATAGTTAATATCCATCAATAAGAAACTAAAAGATACACTTCACATTTATGCAAAAGGCAACCACTCAATGAGTCCAACCTCATGAAATATGATTCAAAAGCTGAAAGATGCAGACTACGGACAGTGACTTCCTGACCAGTACTGTACTCAAATTTAGAAAAAATTACCGTGGCATCCTGAATGAAATACTATTATTATATTCTTGAGAACATGTCATCAAAGTACTCTAACATGACATTTTTGAACTTCTAGCCGGTTCACTTCCTTCTCAAGTTCACAGGTGACCACACCTTCATGGCAGAATCTATACTATTCCTCACAAAATAGGTTAACTGTTGCATTCACTTTCAAATTTAGTCACCGTAAACCAAGATCAACAGCAGCTGTATGGAATCTAACACTAACCCAACCCTGTGGTGTGCTGCAAAATATGCACACATACCCCTACCAACTACTTGCCTTATCATACCCTGCACAAACAGAATACAGTAACACTATCTGCATGTGCAGAAAGGGAAAGTTAAAATAACTGACAGCTCTATTAGCACGCACAGAACTTATTTAAAAGGAAAACAACCAGTCTAGTCAATGCCACATTCTTTAGACATATATACAATTAGCAAAAAAAAAGGATGCAAAATGCTCCTATATCAGCATGTTCCAATTTATCATAATTAAGCGAAGGACGGACCCATCATGGGGTTGAATGCCTGGCAACTCAAATTTAATTTCAGACACTAAACGTCAGGCTAGTGCAACAGCCTGGCAATTCATAAAGCCAAAAAAAGAACCATTTACCTCTGGCTTTCAAACAAACCTAGTTAGGAGGTACTTCTCCATCCATTTAAAAATTCAGTTCAATTACCCAACTCTGGCTCCACAGAGAACTCCAGAAGCGCCCCCAATTGAGAATGAAATGTTCAGACTAATTCATAGCACTTTGCAGGCAGGATGGCACCTGGCACTAACAGAAGACTCTCCCCTCCTAAAAATTAGGACTCCCGTGTTTGGAATACCTCCTCTGCATGTAATCCTGCCCGACGAGAATCCAAGGCTGTGTGAAGAGCAGTCTGCCCACAGAAGCCCAAGCTTTCCAATAATAGTGGACCGGCCATCATGAGCTTAAATGAGAAAAGCACTCCCCAAACCTGAGATACACCAACAACAAGATAATCCACTCAGGGAAAACCATCTCCTTCCTAAGTTCCACCTACTGCTTTTTTTTTCAGTTGAAATAGGTTTGGCTTGTTTGGAGGGGAGTAGTGCTATATGGCACTTAGAGATGGAGCTGTGCTCCAGGGCAAATGTCCTTTTTTTATTCTAGCTCCAACTCGGCAGCCTACCGGTTCCCCCTTATCCATCCAGCCGTATCACGAATTCACTTAAAATACTAAAAGAAATGGCCTTGCCTTTGGCCCTCTCCCTGGAGCCCCCCAACGCCTTCCAAGGGGGCTAGTTAAAAAGGAGCTGTTCTTTCTGCAACCTAGGGCCTCCCTTCTCTGGTCTGGTCAGCTCTAACAGACAGCATCAGCCTGCGGTCTCCCTAGCAGGTCCTGCTGGCGCAGCAATCCTGAGCGCCGGGTGGGGACCTATCTGCACAGACCTCTCTTTCCACCCAGGCTTTAGCCACTGGAGCCCAGAGGGGAAGAATCCCGCGGTGGAAGCAGTCCCAACCAAGTTCCCTCTGATTCTTTTGGGATTTTTCCACCGGCCCTTGCCTCTGCAGCAAAGCCTCCCTGGTCCAGCAGGGCCCAGGAGAGATGCATTCATTCCCCATCTCCCAGTCCCTTGCTGGTGACCTTGGCCACACTGCTACGCCTCTCTGCCCTCGGTGGCCGGACACCACCCACTTCGCGGGTTACGAGAGGGTCACAATTATGTGGAAAACGCCCAGCAAACTGCCGGCACACAGGAAGAGGACTTCCCTCTTCTGCCTTCCACGGTGTTCAGAGCTCGCCCCGTCCTCTCTCTACCTCCAGTCGCTGAGGTCGGGGTCCGGCCTTTAAATCCGCAGAAGCCCGGGAAGGACGAGCAAACCGAGCAAGAGCTCGCACGTCTCAGGACCCCCACTGCCCACTGGCCTGGTTGCGGGGGACTCCCTCAGGGGGTGTGGTCCCCCAGCCCCAAGAGCCCCTTCCTCCCCAGCTCAGGAATCCAGACAGTCCCACTCCGAGGCAGCGGAGTATCCCCGCGGGCGGGCCGGGGGCGCGGCGCAACCTACCTCCTCCAGCAGCGTGACGGTGTTCCTGCAGTTGTGCAGCCGCGTGGTGAAGCTGGACGTGGTGGGCGAGTTGTAGTCCTCGGTGGTCTCGGCGATGAACTCGGACACGGAGATCTGGTCCGGCATCCTGCCGAGGGGGGCGAGACACAAGCGGAGGCGGGGGTGAGGCGGCGCAGGCTCCCGGGGCCGCGGCCGCCCGGCGGCTCATGAACGCCCGCGCAGCCCGCCTCCAGCTCCCGCTGCCGGCCTGGCGCAGCTCCTTCCCCGGCGGCGGCTGCGCTCAGCGCGGAGCCTTCAAACTCCGAGCGCGGCGCGAGGCAGGGGGCTCTCGATGACCCGCCTCTCAATGCTCATTCCGGCGGCGCGGCGACTGCGGCTCCTCAGTAGCGGGGGAGGGGACGCGGCGGTAGTGGAGTTCGCGCAAGGATCGGGCAGGCGCAGGGGCGTCCGGGGCGGAGGGCTCAGGGCGGCCAGCACTGCCTCCAGAGACGCTCTGACAGGCGGCAGCAAGGGCCCGACTGACTGAGCGCTTCTCACTCGGCGGGCGGGGCTCCCGATACAGTCACGAGAACAAACAAGGAAGCGCTCTGCGCACGCGCGCCGCCCCCCCTCCACCGCCCGCGCACCGCCCCCAGCGCGACCTGGCCACGCCCCCACCGCCCGCGCACCGCCCCCAGCACCGGCCCCGGCCCAGCCGCGAGCTGTAGGGCCATGTTCCGACACGGGCGTCCGGGTTGAGTACTGTGCGCGCAGCTCGCGGGGCTCTGGAAGCCCCATCCCCGTGGCCGCCCCCGGAGCGGTTACTTCAGCGAGCTCCTTACGCGAGCGTTTTGTAAGAAGGGTGACCAAAAAAGTTGTACGTGTTCTTTTTTAGTCCCGTGTGGGTGCAGGAAGCGAGGCCAGGAGAGCCGCCTCCTGCTGCGCGGGCGCCGGCCGAGCCGAGGGTGCGCAGGACTCGGAACCCGCGGGCCGCCGGCTCCAGCCTTACTCGCCTGCCCGCTCCCCTCACCCCTCCGTCCGCTGGGCGCGCGCCGCTGCAGGCAAGCTAGTTCTGAGCAGTTTACTTAGGTCTCTAAACTGCTAAGTGAAGACGAACGAAAAGTTTTTGGGGTCTTTTTTTTTTTTTTTTTTGCAATTTTATAATCTTTCACTGGCACTTTTTTTTTTAAAATCCGGAGGAAAGACGAGGACTACGGAGTGTAAATGGCATCTCCCGAGGTGCAAATGGTGTCCAACGCTAAGCAGATGCTAGACAAATTTCAGCGGAAAAAGTACCAACATATCGCTCATCCCTCGGCCGGGCAGATGGCTATGTTTTAACTAGCTCAATCGACTCCTAAGAATCCATTTAATTTCTCACCGCTGACTACTAATGAAATTGGTTTTACAAAGATTCCCTCTGTCAGTGGGAATCGCTGCAGAAGGACTGAATGGCTCTTGTATTTGGAGCCAATGGGAGCTGTCCTTAGTCGCTCATCTCCCAAATGCGCCTCCTCAGGGCAGAAGGCTGCCCCTGGGGCCTCCCCCAGGATTGAGCTCCTGCCATCTTGTGTGGTTAAGTGTTCTCCGGTCCTTAGCCCCAACTACAATGGTGTGCCCCCAAGGCAGGGATCTTGTCTTGCACTGGGCTTGGCACAGAGAAGTAGCCCAATGGTTGTTCAATCAAAATGCATCACCACATATTTACTAATCATCTACTATACACCCTGGGGATACAGTAGTGACTATGTCTTGGTTCTCAAAGAGCTTATCCTCTGCTAGGGAAACAGCAAATATAAAATACAAAGCACAGTAAGGGGACAGTGGTGGTTCAGTGGATAGACTTTTCACTTTAATGTGGGAAACCCTGGTTGGATTCCCAGCTAATGCATCTCATGTGCAGCTACCACCCCTCTGTCAGTGGAGGTTTGTGTGTTGCTATGCCGAACAGGTTTCGGTGGAGGTTCCAGACTAAGATGGACTAGGAAGAAAGGCTTAGTGATCTACTTCCAAAAATCAGCCAGTGAAAACCCTGTGGAGCACAATGGTCTGGTCCTAGCTACAGCCAATCACAGCACAGGACTGGGCAGCAAGGGTTTTGTTCACAGTTAAGAAGGGGCAGTAAAGTGACAGAGGAGTTGGAATTATAAAGGATGTTCAGAGAAGGACTCTCTGACAAGGTGACATCTTGAAACAGAGAAGAGAGTAAGGGGAGTGAACGCATAGATGCCCTGTTGGCTAGGGGATCTTGGCCCTCAGTTGCCTCAGGTGAAAATGAAAGATAAGGGCACCAATCCCATCAGGCTGTTATGCGAGTTAATGGTAATGGATGAGAAGCCACTTTGTGCACAGGTTAAGTTAGTATGAAACATGAGATGTTCTATCTCCCTGAGTGGCTGCACTGAACCTGTGCTGTGTCTCCAAACACATTCCCATCAGGGTCCTCCAAGGGACCATGCTTCAGGTGGGCAAGGGCTTCAGCTAACTATACAAGGAATTCTGGAAGGGAATGGACATGAATGAATACTCTTTCCTGGCAAAGTGAAGTGTTGAGAAATCAACTTTGAGAGGCATTCTTAAAAAGTAATAAATCAGCACCCACTTTTTCCTCATTAGCACTTCAAAAGTTTGGGAAACAAGTTTGTGGTTCTGGGGAGATAGCCAGAAAGAGATAGCAGAGTTGAAGACCTGGACCTGGAGGTCTCTTGCTAGTGTGCGGGGATCAACAGATCACGGGCTTTTGGGATTATGAGCCCCCAGGAGAAAATCCTCTTTTTCTGTGTACTAACTAGGCCACCCTGTATCTGGAAAGCTCTGTGACTTTGAGCAAATATGACACCTGCTAGCTTAGGTTTGGAGTCTCTGGATGGTGCAAATGGTTAATGAGCTGGCTGTGACATGAATGGGTCTTTGAGTCCACCCAGAAGTACCTCAGAAGAAAGAAAGGCCTGGCAATCTACTTCCAAAAAAGCAGCCACTGAAAAGCCTATGGAGCACAGTTCTCTTCTGACACACGTGGAATCATCATGATTTAGAATTGACTCAATGGCAACTGGTAGCTTGGGCTAATTGCTTAAGTTCTTTGAGCCTCAGTAACCCCAGGCTACCCTAGCCCTTAAACTTCCTCCGCTCCAAGCAGGTCTTCCTCTAGGCTGGAAATAAATTTAGACTTTGCTTTTTCATTTATTCTATTCTTTCCTCTATTCCAAGGCATTATCTAACACCTGTCACCTCCACTGAGCTGAAAGCTCCTTCCCTCCTCCATAAGGCCTGGCATATAATGAACGCTCAATAAATGTGTGTTGATACAAAAAGCTTAGAGTCAGTGAATAATTGCCTCCATTCCAGGATGCCAGGGTCCCAGAGCTCGCTCTAGTAATAACTGATGCTGTCATCTTGTGCATTGGTGCTATCACTTGTAAAATGAAGGGCTGGATGTGTCAAGATGACCACAGAGATCCCCCCTACCCCCTGGCAGAAGCTGAGTCTGTGTATACGCTCAGCTCTGCAGATGCAAGGAATAAAGATTATTACAATGGACTAGGCAAATGGAAAGGAGCCCTGGTTGGTGCAGTGGTCACCAGCTGCTCTGCGCGAGAAAGATGTGGCAGTCTGCTTCCATAAAGATTTACAGCCTTGGAAACCCAATGGGGCAGTCCTATTCTGTCCTATAGGGTCACTATGAGGTGGAATCATCTTGACCAAAACCAGTTAGGCAAATGGGCAATGCTAAACAGCCAGGGATTTTTTTCTTGACTAAATCTACCAAAGCCCAAACTGCTGCCATCAATTGCTGTTTCAGTTTCATTTGAAGATTATGTTATGTATCTGCTCCTCCCCCCTCTCCTTCGGCCAAGAAAGGAATCTGTGAACAATAAGATATTGTGCCCTGGTAAGTGTATACCTCCTCAGACTTGGTCTGCAATTAGAAATTTCAAAGGTTCACACCTCTACCCACCATTTCTGGGGTTCATAGGCACATAATCCTCTTTAAATTTGAAACCATGCCCCAGTGCAAACCATCTGCACCTCTCATTTTCTCAAATGCCCTGAAAACTATTCCTGGATATCAGAAAATGAACAGAGTCTGACATGGGCAAAACTTAAATGCTGGATGATTTCTTTCTGTGGAGCTGCTCAGAAATATCCATCATCCTTTCTGGAGCCAGGAAGAATACATATGCAAACATACATATACTTGCGCACGCTAGGCTTTATATAAAGCAAGCATCATCTTTGTTATTATAATCCCCGTTGAAGACTGTTCAGCACCCTATGCTCCTCCTGCCTGGTCCTTACTGTGAGTACTGCTGGCTGGGCCCCGGGTAGAACGGGAAGATAGATAATATGCCTTGTATTATGCGGATCTGGGTTTGAATCTCTACTCTGACACTTAGTAGTCTTGTTTTCTCATCTGCAAAATTAGAGTAATAATAAAACTACGTTAGAAGCTGTTATGTGAAATGAAATGAGAAGATGTGGACCTAACAGTTGACGCAGAGGGAATACTCAACCAAAGCTCGTTCCCTTTGGACTCTCTTTTTATGTGACATGTGACTATAAATACATCTCCTTCCACTCCATGACTCAGGTATCTCTAAATTAGTCACCTGTTGGAGGAAAGAAGAGGGAGAGCCTGCACAGTAATTCCCAAAATCTGGGAACTCAGATATGGGGATAGTCGTCAGAAAACCAAAAACCCACTGCCATTGAGTTGATTCCAACTCACAGTGAGCCCGTAGGACCGGGTAGAACTGCCCCATTGGGTTTCCAAGGCTGTAAATCTTTACAGAAGCAGACTGCCACATCCTTCTCCCGAATGCCGTATCTTTCTCCCTTGGAGCGGCTACTGCGTTCGAACCACTAACCTTTTGGTTAGCAGCTGAGTGCTTTAACCACTGTGCCACGAGGACTCCTTCATAGCCTTCAGATACCTCGCTTATTCTGCTTAAGTATCCTTTGTGAGCCCAGATCCCTTAGTGATGGTGGATACTAGAGTCCACTAGGATGAATACCAATTGGGATCAGAAGTGAGTTGAGACTATAAAATAATGAGCCTGTTTTCACCGAAGGCAGTTCCCGTAAAACAGGAGATTCTAGCAGGGCAGCTTCTAGAAGACAGAACAGGGCATTGATTTTGCAGAAACATGAGTTATGGGCTG